GAGAGTCACAGCAGCGTGCTGCGTTGGGATGAGAAAAGTGGGCTTGCGTCAACTCTGCATCTGGGAATTTGAAAACCTGAAATAGAGCCTTAGCCGGTTTGGCTCATTGGATAGAGCATCGGCCTGTGGACGGAAGGGTGAGGGGGCGTGCAGGAGGCAGCCGATCAGTGATTCTCATCATTGATGTTTCCATCTCTCCTCTCCTCTCCCTTCCTCTCTCAAATCAATGAAAAAAAATATTTTTTAAAAACCTGAAATAGAATTGCTGCACATAGACATGACCCTTGATGCGATGTTTGCCCGACTCTTGCCCTGCCGTTCCCTGGACCCGGGCTGGGGCCACTCCCCTTTTGTTTGGTTGTGTTTTCTTCCTTCCCTGAGGGTTTTGAGATAGTTGGTTGTTGTTGTTTTTTTTAAAGTCACAAGTTTTGGAAACAAAAACCTGTCAGTTCAGGACAATTCTTCTGGAAGGCGTTGCTCCTGAGGATGGCCTCACACAGAGCCTTCCCCAGGCCAGAGAGGCTCCAGGAAAACGGGGTCTCCAGCTCCAAGCCGCTGCTGCTGAAGGGGGCGGTGCCGGCCCAGAGATGTGAGCTGTTGACTTGCTCTGCCTCTGTCTGCTTCTCTTTCCTGAACCGACTTCATCTCTTGCAATACTTAGAAGTTTCCCGAAAAGATGCAAGAGCACAGAATGCTGCCCAGCACCGACAGAAGCATGAGCCACGTGTGTTTCATCGGCTTTCTCTGGACCCACTCATGCGTGTTATGCTTTTCTGGCTGAACTGTTTGAAAGTGAAGTTGCAGAAATGAGGGCCCTGACCCCAAACACTTGAGGGTTTTCTAAAAGCAAGGACTCCCTTACGGAACCCAGCACGGTGCTCCAAGTCAGAAATCGAAACGTGGGGCCTGTTCTGTGCGTGGTTGACAGTGGTTTCCCCTCTGACTGTTTTGTTATTTTCAGACACACAAGCACGTGCTGAACCCCCATTTCTCAGTGCCAGCAGCAGACAGCACCCCCTGCCCTCATTGTTCGCCTGCCCTGTGCCATGTGCCCTCTTTCCTCTGGAGTGTTTTACAGCTGAGGCCTGACATTGATTCATCTGTGAGGACTTCATCGTAAATCGTCGTTCAATCCCCGGGATGGCATGTGATGGAAAATCTCTTAAGTGGGCGGTGACCCACACTTAAAAAAAGAGAGAGAGAGTAGACCATAAAATCAGAGTGGGCTGTGCAGGCGCTGTGTGTGTTAAGGTCTTCCTTACGGTGGCCCCCAGGGTTCCTGGGTTTATTTGTGGAAGATCTGACCTTGGCTGCAGGACCCCTGAGGGGGAGACCCAGCCTGGGGAGGGCTGGGGGAGAGAGGTCAGGTGTGTGCTACCACCACCCACCCCAAAGCCCTGCCTGTGGAAGCATGGGCTCTAGAGTCCAAAGTGCTGGGCTTCAACCCTGGCCCCACCACTTGCTACCTGGCCTTGTATGCATTGTCTAACCGCCCTGTGCCTCAGTTTTCCCATCTGAAAAGAGGTGACAGAAATGGTCCCAACCTCCTGGGGCTGTGGTGAGGACTGATTGACCATGAACCTCTGTCAGGGCTGGGCACACAGGGAATGCTCAAGAAAGGTGCCCGTTGTCCTCGCAGGCCTGGCCGGGGCTCTCTCTTCCTCCAGCTCCCGCCCATCCTCTGGCACTGAGTATCTTTAGCGTCTTTCCTTAGCATCTTTTCTTCCACGTTAGAATCCCTTCAAGAGCTCTTTTTTTTTCTTTTTTTCAATTTTTTTTATTTTGAAGGAATATTTAATATTAACATTGTGAGTTATTATCTTTTGCATATCAAAGTTACACATTTCAAACAAATCGTCATTTATATTTACAGTATACAAATGCAAAGCACTAATTTCCCACTAAATCATCACTTTCTTAAAATGGTACATGTGATGTTATGAAATTAGCTATTAAGTATTCGAAATAGTGGAAAAGAGGTCCTTTCTTCAGTCTTTTTTTTTTTAATATATTTAAAAAAAATTTTTTTTGCCCCCCCTCCCTCCCTCCCTTCTTTTTTTCTTAAAAAAAGTATTTTTACAACCAATGGACACAAAACTCTGGGGAGGGAGGACATGTATGGGAAGGGGGGGGGCAATGGTATATGTACTCAGATAATTTAATTAAAAAATTAAAAATTAAAATAAATAAAAATATTTTTATTTATTTCAGAGAAGAAGGGAGAGGGAGAGGGAGAGAGAGCGAAACATCAGTGATGAGGGAGAATCATTGATTGGCTTTCACGCCCCCTCCTGGGGATCGAGCCCACAACCTGGGCACGTGCCTTTGATGGGAATCGAACCTGGGACCCTCCAGTCCACCGGCTGACACTCTATCCACTGAGCCTCACCAGGTAGGGCCCTTTGAGAGCTTTTACAGTGCCTGGCCTCACCTCAGGCCAATTACTCTGGATCCCTGGGATGGGACCCAGGCCCCGTAGTTTTTAAAAGCACCCAGGTGACCCCGCTGTGCCGGGAAGATGCGCGCTTAGCCTTTCAGCGGTAATGCGCATCCCCTGGGTCACGTAGAGCATCTCCTGAGCCTCCGGGAGGGGCGGGGGCCTGAGAGCCTGCATTTCGCACAGGCTCCCCACAGCGCCCACTGCTGGTCCAGGCACACTCTGAGACCCTGAGACCCTAGAGAAAAGGCCCCGCCGGAGACTGCTACCTCCCTTCCCTCCATCACCCCTAAACAATAGCTGCCGACACTTCCCGGACTTCTCTGTGCCCAGCACTGCCATCTCCCCTGATGTTTAATTCTCCGGCTACTTGAGGCTGCACGTGCATCAGCCCCATTTTAAAGATGAGAAAAGTGAGGTGTGCCTGTGGTCACATGGCTGAGCCAGGCTCTGAAGAGCTACCGCTTCTAAGCGGGGAACTCTTCCTTTCATACACGGCTGTCCGGAGGCTTTCCCCATCCTTTTCTGTCTGTCTGTCTCTCTTTCCTGCCCTCTCAGTATTTCCCTCCCTCTCTCCCCTCTTTCTCAGTCTCTCTGACTCCATCTCCTGGTGCTTGTTCCCGTACCCGCCCCACAAATTCCCCCTGGCTGAAATGGAAGCCTCTATCCTGCCCCTCCTCCACACCAGCCCCCTCTGGGTCCCACCATCTCCCAAGCCTGTGTGTCACCCGGACTTCCAGCTGCTTCTCCTCCCACCGCCCTGCTGGCTTTGGAGTTCAGGCTCCACGTTTCTGAGCCAGAGCAGAGCTTCCCCGTCCTTAACAAACACACAGGTCCGAGGGGGCCTGTTAAAGTGCTGATCCTGGCTCAGGCTGGCTGGGTGGGCCTGCGCTGCTGCTTTGCTAACAGGCTCCCAGCGGGGCCGGGGCTGTTGGCCCATCAGCACCACCCAAGCAGCAATGTTCTGGAGGACCTGGCGCTTCCTCGCTGGCCCCTGGCCTACACACACTCCTAGAAGGCAGACTTGCTGCTCGGTGCCCTCAAAACAACCTCTGAATCCTGTAGCAGGCCCCCAGAGCCCTCAAGGTGCAGCTCACCTCATTCCTACCCTGTCCTCCCACCCCTGGCTGCTCCCATGGGCCACGCCCTTCTTATCCTCTGGACCTTTGCACATTCTGTTCCTGAGGCCTGAGAGGCTGTTCCCCGCTTGTCCCACTCCTGCCCACTTTTAGGGACACATTCCTCGGGACTCCCCGACTGGGCGGGAACCCCCTCCTCACGCTGCTTCCCCTGGGCTCACCATGCCTCGGTCAGGTCCAGTTTGTGTGTCTGTCTGTCTCCCCTGCTAATCTGAACAGCTTAGATTCCGGTGTGGTGCCTCATTTGGCCTTGCATCCCCTGTGTGGGCTCCCCTTTGACATCAGGTGCCAGGATGGGGAATGTATAGGAAATGCGAATGGGCCTGAGAGGCTGGGAGGACCGACAGCAGGGAATGAGGGAGGGCAAGAGGGTGGAGATCATCCATGTATGGTTGGGGAAGGGAGTTGCCCATCGGGGGCACCTGCCTCAGGTCCCAGCTTCTGGCAGGAGGAGCAGTCCGGGGGTGTCAGAGATCTGAGGGGCACTTCTCATGGCCACCCTTCACCCTCACCACTCATCAGCCTGGCACACAGGCATGCATTCCAGGCTGGGGCTCCCTGTGGATGAAGAGGTGAGCTCCCCCCATCCTCACCTCTCAAAGCCTCAGGGACTCCTCCAAAGTGGAAGCAAGAGCCTCGCCTTCCCTGCAGAGCCTCAGAGGCCCCTGCGGGGTGGGCCTCGGACGGGGATCAGGGCAATCCCGGTTTGGAACCCCAACTCCACTCTTCGTAAGCTGGGTGGCCTTGGGCAGGTGACCACCACTCTCTGAGCCTTGATTTCCACATCTGTAAAATGGGGGCAGAAACAGCACCTTACAAGGATGCTGAGGAGGATTGAATGTCAGGAGCACGGCCAGCTGCTGCCCCTGTTCGTTGATTACTCAGAACGCGAAGGAGGCATCACATTGCAGGAGGATCGTGGGAACCCTGGCTGGGACAGTTTGAATGCTCACGGACTGGAGGCTCCCACCCTGTGTAGCTTCATCTGTTACATTTCCAGAGACTCTGCGTTTTTGAAGGGGGAAGCCCATCCCGGTGGGCCTCGGGCCACCCCCGCAGCCTGGCTCAGGGTCCTCCCACCAGGAGGTCCTCACTCACCACGAAGTCAGCCAGCATCTGTGGCCCCTGAAAGCGAAGACCAGGTGATGCGGGTTCCGCTTCGCCAGCCCCGACCACACCCTCGCCGTCACCTTCACCGAGACCGCAGCCGGCCTCCGGTATATTTAGCTCTGAGGCGCCTGAAAGTTTTTTCCGCCGGCACAGACTCAGCTTTGAGCAAATTGAGCCCAGATGTAGTCAGCAGGCACCGTGACCTGGAGGCCTCGGCTCTCTCCCCGCCACTTCCTGTTGTGCACCCATCGGGGCTGGGGGCGGGGGCCTGGGCCCACGTGGCCAATACAAACAAACCTCTCCTTTCTCTGCAGGCCGGCGGAGGCACCGACATGGGGCTGAAGCTGTCCTGTCTGAAAGGTAAGGCTCTCCCTCACCAGCTCTGGTGTGGCGCGAGAGGGCGTGGCAGTGGGGGGGCGGGGAGGAGTGGGGCGGGACAGGGTGGGAAGGCAGAGCTGAGCCCCTAGTGTTGCAGCCGTGGAGAGGGAGGAGGGAGGAGGCCCTCCCACTGCACACAGTAAGCGCCCTTTAAGTGCTTGCTCTGACTCTGAGGGCTCCTCCAGGCCCTCCCTTTGGTTGGCAGTTGAGTGAGGAATGTGGCAGCGCCCTCTGGGCCTCAGTTTCCTTCGCAGAGGCATGAATTCCAGGGTGGGGAGTAAGGGACAAGAGGCTCTAGAAGTGGGTGCCAGGCATGCCCAGGGTATTTGCTCTCCACCCTGCTGGCCTGTTATCACTCAGATAACAGGTTCGGCCTGCCAGAGGCTGGGGGGGGGGGGGGGGGTTGGAAGGGGGGCGGTGCAGAAAGCCAGCAAGGAGAAAGTTCTAGAAGGACACAGAATCACTGAGAAGGGTTGTAGGTGTTGGCAGAGGCAGCCCAGACCTCTGTCCTGTGCTCCAGACCTTTCTGTACAGAGTCGGAATGACCCAGGGGCACCCAGGCCAATGTGGCCCACACCGAGACCTCCCCTCAAAGCCCATTCGTTATTGCATAACAAGTGCTCCCCACGTCTCCCCAGCCTGGACCCTGGGTGTCTCGTTGGGGGCGTCTCCCTGGGGACCCCTCCCACAGGCAGCGTGCCAGCAGCCCTGGCTCTCCTTTTAGATGTCCGGGGCCGGCCCTGGCTCCTTCCCTCTGCCGCTGGAAGACAGGAGGCTTGGGAGGTCGGGCCGGGATGAAGGGCCATGTCCTTCAGGTTCCATTCCTTCAGGGCCCTCAGCTGGGATGAGTGAGCTCCAGGAGAGCCTCTGGCTGGTCCAGCTCAGGGCTCCTGCCTGTCCCTCAGCGGGGGGGGGGGGGGGGGGGGGGGGGGGGGGGCGGGGCAACTTGATGGACAATGCCTCCCAGACGGGTCGCAAGTAGGGAGCAGTGATTCCCCTGGAGAAAATCAGCGTGTTGCTCGCAAAAGGGGCGTGGGGTGCTAGAGAGTCCTAAACAACCTCGTCCCTCCGGGGCCTGGTCCCTCTGAGGCTCCAGGCTGAGCCCGGGCAGGAGTTGGGGGCGGTGCTTGCTGAGTGAGTATCCATGGGGGATGCAGGTCCAAAGGTTGGGTCCAGAGACCAAAAATCAGAGCTCCAGAACCTTCTTCCTTAGACTTTACTGCAGGTCTCTCCGGTGCCTGGCACAGAGTAGGTGGTCAGAACACACTTTTTGTTTGTTTGTTTTTTGTAGCAAAATACACTGAGTGGCCAGATTATTATGATCTCTGAATACATAATAATCTGGCCACTCGTGTGTGTGTGTGTGTGTGTGTGTGTGTATGTATTAGAGGTCCAGTGCATGAATTTGTGCATGGGTGAGGTCCAGCCAGCCTGGCCAGTGGGAGGAGACATGGGTGGTTGGCCAGCCTGCCTGCTGGTCGAACTCCTAGTCCAGGGGACCATTTGCATATTAGCCTTTTATTATATAGGATATACACTGAGTGGCCAGATTATTATGCGTTCAGAGATCATCATAGTCTGGCCCCTCGATGTATAATGTAAGTCACCGCTTGAACTGTCTAAGTGCACAGGTCAGTGGCATTGAGCACATTCACGTTGTTGTGCAACCATCACCAGCATCTACCTCCAGAACTTTTCCATCTTCCCAAACTGAGTCTGTCCCCATGGCAAAGCAACCCTCTGCCCTCCGCCCCTGAGCCCTGGTGCTCCCATCCTGCTTTGTCTCTGGATCTGACTGCTCTAGGGACTTCGCCTAGGGAACGGTGCAGTGTTTGTCTTTTTGTGACACGGCATAAAGTCCTCAGGGTCCAGCCATGTGGTCGCGTGTGTCCGAGTTTCCTTTATAAAGCTGAGTACTATTCGTGTGTATGGTTCATCCATCATCCCCCGATGGACCCCAGGCTGCTTCCACTTTTTTTTTTTTTAATATTTTTTATTGATTTTTTTTTTTACAGAGAGGAAGAGAGTGAGATACAGAGTTAGAAACATCGATGAGAGAGAATCATCGATTAGCTGCCTCTTGCACACCTCCTACTGGGGATGTGCCTGCAATGAAGGTACATGCCCTTGACCGGAATCAAACCCAGGACCCTTCAATCCGCAGCCCGACGCTCTATCCACTGAGCCAAACCAGTTTCGGCTGCTTCCACTTTTGGCTGCTGTGTCAGGACATCCTTGACAAAAACAAGCTCCTAACGGGACCTCTGGGGCCACTTCCCTTCCAGCCCAAGGCGGGCTGGGAACTCATTCTGGGGAGAGACCCGGGAGCTGCAGGTGCTGAGAGTCCCTGGGAAACGGTGTGTGTCCTCTCCCCCTGCTCCCTCCCCTCCCTGCAGCACTGAAAGCCTGACAGCGTGCTAAGTGCTCCTGGGCTGCGAGCCTCTAAAAGGGCTCCTTCCGGCCGAGCCCTGAGGAGCTAAGTGCCGGGACTGCAGGAGCAGTACCAGGCAGGTTTGCTCATCCATTTTTCATGGCCAGCTCTCTGGGGCCGGCCCACCGGCCCTCCCCTCAGCCTCGGCCAACACAGGCTTGGGTGTGCCTGGGGGAGGGGAGGGCAGGGCACAGAACCCCTCTGTGGGAAACCGAGACAACCCGGCCCCTTATCCCTGATGCCCAACATTCTCTGCAGGGTCTTGTTCTCAGTTTCCCCATGAGGAATATGTCCCATGTGAGGACACCTCAGGGTGCTGGACATCCCGCAGCCCTGTGACCCTCACAGTTAGCCATGGCCTTCTCTCACCTGGCTGCCAGCAGATATGGCTTTACCTGGTTGTTGGCACTCGCACGTGCAGTTCTGTGCACCATCTTTTGTCTCTTTTTTATTTGATGTTTCGGTGCTAGTGCTGTTGTGCCCAAGGCGGCATCATTTCCACAGTTTCTTTAATGCCTGTATCATTAAGATTCTGTCAAGAGTTGGTCTTGAGGTCTTGGCCAGGGTCGCTCAGTGGTTGGAGCGTCGGCCCATGCACCCAAGGGTTTCGGGTTCAATTCCTGGTCAAGGGCATGTACCTGGGTTACAGGTTCAGTCCCCAGCCTTGGTCAGGGCATATGCGGGAGGCAGCCAATCGATGTGTCCCTCTCGAATCGATGTTTCTCTCCCTCCCTCCCATCCCACTCTCTCTAAAAATATCAATGGAAAAAATGGCCTCAGGTGCAGATTAAAAAAAAAAAAAAACTAAAACAAAACAAGAGTTGGTCTTTGGGTTGTTTCCTACTTGTTGCTTTTGTAGATGCTGCCACTTTGAACATCTTTGCTTTTTTGTCTTTTTAAATTATTTCTTTGAGATAAGTTTCAGCAATCGGAATCCAAGTCAGCTAATTATGGTGAATTCGTACTGGGGGGCTTAGCCTGGGCAGGGCCCTGTTCTCTGCATTCTATGTGAATGGCTCACCTGCCCCTTCTCCCATCCTAAAGGGGGTATTATCGGGATTCTCAGTTCCCAGATGAAGCTGAGGCACAGAGAGGCAGTGCAGTTTGCCTGGGGCCACACAGCTGGTTCCTATATGGGGTTTGAACACAGGCAGCTTGGTCCCAGAGGCCTGGTGTCAGCCACCACACATAACAGCTTTTTCAGAAGAAAAAGCTTTTTGTCTGTTTAATATATAGGTATATATCTATAATAATAAAAGTGTAATGTACTAAGTAGACCAGATGTTCTTCTGGATGACCCTCCAGACAAAGCCAGGGCCGCGAGGGAAGCCTGGGTCCCGGATGCCAGAGGGAAGCCAGTGTCAGCAGCCGGGGGAAGGAAGGCCTACTCTTGCATGAATTTTTGTGCATCGGACCTCTAATATATATCATTGATTTCAGAGAGGAAGGGAGAGAGAGAGAAACATCAGTGATTAGAGAGAATCATTGATCGGCTGCTTCCTGCACGCCCAGAGGGAAATGCTTTCATTTGACTTGTAAAGTAAAAAAAAATGCAGAAACTTCATTCACACAAGCTCTTCAGTCTCCACTTTGACCCATTAAATGGTGTCTTAGTGTCCGGTGCCTTCCATAACATGACCTCAAACTGGGGTGGGAGAGGCTTAAAACCACAGAAATTAATTCGATCTTCGTTCTGGAGCTAGAAGCCCTAACGCCAAGGCCATGCTTCCTCCCAAGGCACTTGGGGAGGATCCTTCCTGCCTCTCCCAGCTCCTGGGGGCTCCCGGCATCCCTTGGCTTGTGGCCACATCACCCCAATCTCTGCCTTTGTCTCCACTGTGTTCCTATGTCCTTTCTCAAAGGAAGACGCCAGTCTTTAGACTTAGAACTGATATTAAATCCAAGATGATCTCATCACAAGATCCTTAACTAATCACATCTGTAAAGACCTTATTTCCAAATAAGGTCACATTCTGAGGTTCTGGATGGACTTGAATTTTGCATTTGGGGGGAACTCGACTCGGCCCACTGCAAGTCTTTGCCGCCGCGGAGCCTCCTGCGTGTGGGACGGAATGTGCTTCCCTGCCTGGCAGCGGAGACGCAGGCAAGGTGGGAGGTCCTAGGCAGGACATTGGAGACGGGAATACCAGGAAGCCTAAATACTTTGGTTTCTGGTTCCAAAGGAGAGTGGGCCCTCTAAAATTTTTTCTTTTTACATATTTTAAAATGTCTTATTCATTTTAGAGAGAGAGAAACATCCATCGGCTGCCTCCTGCACACCCTCTTCTGGGGATTGAGCCCTCAACCTAGGCATGTGCCCTGACCAGGAATCAAACCTGGACCTCTTGGTGCATGGGTCAACACGCAACCATGGAGCCACACCTGGGAGGTGAGCTGCAGCGACACGCAGGGCTGTCCCTCCGGCGAGCGCTGCCGCATCCAGAACGGCCTCCTGGGTTGCTTAGCCACACCAGCCAGCGAGAGTGGGCACTGAAAGTGGGGTCCTTCTCTCAAGGGCCTGGCCATAGCAACCGGGATGTATGGGAACGTT